ACTCTTTTGTTTCAATACTGAGACATTTCTGATTACTGGGGAGAGGCTACCAAACTCTGGACTAAGCAATTCTTTTACAGAGCACATGGGAAGTGGAGGCGGGCAGTGAATGGAGAGAGAAGTAAGAGAAGGAGAAGGGGAGGAGAGAAAAGCATGTGGTGCGACTAGGAAGATTGAGTCAGAGTCTATTGAAGACAGAAGAGAGAGAGAGAGAGAGAGAGAGAGAGAGAGAGAGAGAGAGAGAGAGAGAGAGAATAAAAGAGGGAGCCATTATTGGTTTGAAGAGAAAACTGAACCTAAAGAAAACTGTACCTAAAGAAAACTGAACCTACAAGACTGCAGCCAACTAACAATTTGAGCATCCGTGGAAAGGCTACCATAAATGCCCTTCCTGGATAGTGAGATCAACAACTAACTTATCCACCATCATGGAGCCCTCATCTAGTACCTGTTGGAAATAGAAGTAAACACCCATAACTAAACACTGAGTTGAACTAGAATCCAGATGCAGAGGGAGAGGACAAGACCAGGTTGCAGAAAATCATAGAGACAGCTGACCTGAACAAGGAGGAGCTAATGGGCCCCCAGACTGATAGCTTGGAATCCAGCATGGGACTGACTCAGGCCCCCCCGAATATGGGTCTCAGCCAAAAGGACTGAGCAGTCTAAGGGACCTCAGACAGTGGAACCAGGATGTATTTCTTGTTCACAAAAGGACCTTGAGGGCACATCCTCCATGGAGGTACTGCCTTAACCTAGAGACAGAAGTCCTATTCCCTACTTCAAATGACTTGACAGTTCTACATGACCCCATCTGAATGGCATTGCCCTACATGTGGAATTGGGGAGGGGAGATGGGAGGGGAGGGTGGTCAGGGTGCATGAAAGAGTAGGGAGAGAGGGTAAGAGGGAGGGATGGAGGGAGAGAGAACTGGGATTGACATGTAAAATAAAAAATAAATAAATAAATAAAAGAAAAAACAAAAAAAGTAGTTCTTTTAAAAGAAGACATTTAACATGTTTGACTGTTTTGCCTGCATGCATGTAAGTGTATTACATTCATGCCTTGTCACTGAGAAGGTCAGATGACAGTGTCAGATTCACTGGACCTGGGGTTGGGGGGTTACAGATGTTCTGAACCACTGTGTGGGTGCTGAGAATTGAACCTGGTCATCTGCAAAGAACAGCTAACCATTCCTAACTGCTGAGCCACCTCCAAAACCCAGATAGTTAGTTCTTTATTTATTATTTATGCTCAAGGCAATTAGGATGATTTTACTTGTGAGAACATATGAAAATATAATTTACCACTTCAGTCATTTTAAGTGTGCATTTCAGTGCAGTTACGTTTATCCAGAGCTTATCAGCCATTCCCAGCAATCCTCCCATAACTGTTTTCATGCTGCAAAACTGAATCTGTATACCTGTTAAAACTTAACTCTTCATCTCCTGTCTCTCACAACAATTTTGCTTTGTCTGTATGCTTACCATTATTCTAACTTTCTCATACTGATTCATGCAGTATTTGGCCCTTAGGAGCTGATTTGTCTGGCTTACTGCCATATCTTCAAGGATTATCCATGCTGTGGCACATATCAATATTTCTTTTTTTCAAAAACTAAATAAATTTAGTATATTTGAATTTATAGCCATTATATCTATCTATTGTTCTTTAAATGGGTTCTTCCCCCTTGGCTATTGTAAACAATGTGTCAATATTCAAGAGTGTGAAAAAAATTTGTTCAAGGGCTTTTTTCTTTCCTTTTGTTTTGTCTACATCTCCAGAGTATCACAGTTGGATCCCTTGGTAATTCAGTGTGTAATTGTCTTAACAATCATCATTTCGCACAATGTCGTGCCACCTTATGTTATGAGCAACAATACTTAAGGGCCCCACTAACTCCACGTGCCTGCCAGCTTTGTTGGTTTCAACTTATTCTTTTTAACACATTCATGCCATATTCATCTTCAAAACCATTTCTTGATGACAGTGGCAGTATTTAGTGCAAGTAAGTCCAACTTATATATTAATTAATATGCAACCATAATAGTGTAAACACTGTCTAATATCAGTTAGTCTGTAGACGCTTGTTTAGATCAGAATCCCTGACTAGATATTCTCATCCTGGCTCTGCCACCACTCACCCTGTGATATTAGGGAAGCCATTTCCTTTCTTTTATGTTTAAACAGTAAAGGTAATGACTTACCTATGATGATCACAAAGTTATTCTAGTTAGTAAATGAGACAATCAATTCAAAGTGGGTTTGAATACCTCAAAATGACAGATTTAGTTGTAGGATTAACAGTTTACATTTTGATTTACAATATATTTGTCGGACACCTTGTGCTTTGTCACTTCTTCAATTTTGCTCTGTCATTCATTTTGCAGTATCAGAACTGGATTCAGAGGAAGTTATTACAACTATTGGAGGTAGCTGTTAGCACTCTAAAGAGTGATTGTCCTTCGCCTGTCCTTTTCTTACATTGTAATTGAATTCAGTTGTGCTCTGTAAAGTACATTTTAGTTCTAAAATTTGATTGAGAGCTATAGCCCTTTACCTGTTACAGTCTAAAGTTAGATGTTTTGCTGAATCCCGGAATTGTAAATGATAATGATAAAGTAATTGGTTCAATAGTGCCCTCTCTCTTTCTATCTCTCCCTTTCTCTTTTCCTCCATCCTTCCTCTTTTCATCCCTGCCTTGCTCATTCCCATTTCTGCATTTTTGTGTAACTCCTAGAATTACCTGAGTAAATTCACTTTGTAAACAGCAGTGTAGAGAATGAAATACCTATTTGATTCATTGGGTGCAGGAGAGATAGTGTCTTTCAGGGAACTGGAAAAAATAACTGTTAACCCTTTCGTTCACTAAAACCCTGAATTTTATTATTCAGTTTAATGGGGTATAGTGAGGGTAATGACTGAATTACCCTAAAAGAAAAATTCCATCTTCTGTTGTGGCATTATTGAGTTTTACTATGATAAACTCTAAAATTCCTTATGTCAGCTTGGAAATTCCTTTATGGATTCTACTTCAGGGATAGCCAGTAGGGTTAATTTATTGGAAAATTTGACTGCAGCATTAATTTTAGTGCTAATATTTGTGTGTTTATACTTGAAATACTCTATATGTGAGATATAATAAAAACATAAAAATAAAAGTCCAAATATATAATGGGCAGAATATATATAATGAGAACAGAAGAGATGTTGCAATTCTAGGAAACTCGACTATACAAACACATTGTTTAGTGATTCTTAAGTTACCTTCAAGTATTCCCTAAGATGATGTGGAAGTCATCTGTGGCCCAATATTTTTTTCTGGGTATTTAAACAGAAAGATTCTTTTTATCCCTTGAGATTATGATTTATGTGATCTGTGCTGGACAATGGAGACCGAGTTTTTACAGGCGATGGGGTGGTGTTTAGAGAACTGCTTCTTGGCAGCCTGTGGATTGCTTTCCAATGGAATCACTTCATTACCTTTGAGTGGCCCTGTGTGGTAGCCAGTTATAGATAAGTGGATATATTATACATAAGTAAGAGTTTGCCTTCACCTGTGAGATTTGGGACCTACTCTACTTTCCTCATAGCAGAAATACAATAAAGAGCTAGTACACTTGAGGAACTTCAACAATCTTCTAGGCTATACTATAAAAATTTTCTAGGATTCTTTTTGTTGTTGTTATTAAAGATAGGAATTTGAATTACCTATTTACACCATTTAAAAACATCAGAATCAACTCTGATTAGCTAGGAAGCTATTAGCTCATTGCTTACCTGTAAGTTGCGCTTTCCCAGTTCAACCAATGGCAATTGGAGATATTATAAGTATTAATGGAAGTAATTGAAATGATTAAACACATCATTCAGAATTAGATGTTTGATACTCTTGCATAAGACATTGGAAAAAGCACCTTTCATGGCTATAATCTGTATTACTCAGAGAATTTGTATTGTAATTCATCAGCATCACCTGGTAGCTGAATAAAAGTAAAGAGTCCCAAACTCACCAGAGAACTAATGACTCCTAAGTCACATAGTAACAATACCCCTACTTAGTTTACCTGCACAGTACTGCACATAACTAAACACACTTGGATGGGGGGAGGAACATGTCTCTTCTCTGAACTAGTGTTCAAAACAATGCTTGTATAACTAGTCTGTGTTTTGAAAGTAGTGGAATGGCTTAGACCAGAACAGTTTATATGTCATTCTCAAAACCATACTGTCTAAAATCTTAATGAATCATATTATTTTTTATTTTTCTTGATCATTTTAAATGTTTGCTATCGCTTCATGCTGATACAAAATGCCATTTTTTTTTCAGTCATAAAAGTGTGTCTGATTTGACAGACACTAAGCAGCTAAGACAGCCCATGGACCAAATAGTCAAGCTCCCGAAGATGTAGTATTTCCCAGTCATAGCCAACAGAGGAAACTATTTGATTTTGAAACCAGCATTCAAATTCCTGAATCATTGTGGTGATGATAGGTAGAATAGATGTTTGTTTGTTCTTATTTCAAGAAGGAAAGCAGCTCCTGATACTTAAATAAAATATGCCTATGTCTCTATCAGAACGACCACTGAGGCTGAAAGATTCACTGTGGTGATTTATCTTGTAAAGATAGCTGTGAACTGGAAAACACTACTAATTCTAAGTGATAACTGAGCAAAACCCATGATAGCTCTCAGATGACAACCTTAGAGCCAGACAGAGAAGAGAGGACATGAACTTAGTCTTACATTAAATTACCACATTTCCTTATTGGAGAGCTAGTGGTACATGGGCTCTGTGCCTTAGTTTAGGTGAAGGAAGTCAGGGCTAATTAAGAAAATATATTTCTACTCCTCTATCCTCATCCAGATAGCACGTCTCATGAACGATGCTCTGAAAATTCTAAATATTCTGAATATTCTAAAATTAAGTTCAAGAAGTTCATTGAAGTCAGGTCTATGTTGATTATCATTAAGTAATTTTTACAATTTTTCTTTCCAGTGTGTATGTATAGAGAACCGTCACTACATGAAATTGGAGAAAAGCAAGGACGTTCGAGGAAAAGTTCGGGAACACCCACCATGAATGGAGGCAAAGTTGTGAATCAAGACTCTACATAGCTGAGAAGCCATCCTATTCTTCCATCTCCAACATCTCCTTTATCCTCCTTCCCTTTTCCCCATTTTCTCCAATAAATCCACCCCAAACAAGAGAAAAAAATAAAACGGCATCACAGGACTTAGTAGCTGAGATTCTGCACTCAAAACCTTCCTTTGTATAGGACAAGAAAATTGAACCAAAGCTTGCCTGTTGCAATGTGGTAGAAAATTCACATGCATAACAATTATCGCACATAAAAGCAAAGAAAAAATAAATCAGGACTCCACAAACATTAAATTCAACTGTGTTGTTATTAAGAGAGGGCTAACTGCAATGAAGACACAACTTTAATGCAGACAAAATACAGTCATTGAATGGATGGAAAAGGTTTTGAGAAAGCCACTTAAAAAAAGTTGAACTGTAAATCCCTTTAAGTTCTAGAGAATTCTGTGATGTACAGTTTTGTTTCATCTTTGTATTTTCTTTAGACTTCTGTAAATGATACACAATTATATCCTGTTTCCAGGATATTCTTTCAATCCTAAAATTGAACATGTCAAAATTATATTCTTCTACTGTCTATCAGTCATTTAGTCAGGGTCCATTTAGCATGAAGAAAAGTTTTAAACATTATTCTTGATGTTGATAATATTTTATTTTAGAAAATGAAAATCTTGTGTTGAATTTAATCATATTAGCTGATTCAATCCTTTGTAAAGAGTTTCTCCTAAGAGAATATCATATTTTTATCTAGGTATTGACCTGGGATTTTATTATTTTTTAGACATTCAGTGAAACAGGTTTTCTTGTATGTCTGAGGAGATCTAGGGACCCCCCGCCATTACTGAGTCTGGTGAAGAAGCACAGGCTTCTTGCTTTTTTCCATTCAGTCTTAGTGTTGATTTGTTGGGTACCTCTGAGTGTGTACACATGTGCATGTCTAACTGTCATAGGAAGTTGTTCATTTCTCTCTCTCTCTTTTTACCATATCTTGCAGCAGGGAAGATGGAAGGTGGTCTTTACTGAAGAAAATAAATCTGAGATTCAGAGTCAAAGAAAATTTCAATACCGTTTTTACATTGTCAGAGTGGTGTGTGTAGACTGTTTTTCAAACTATGAGAAATTGGAAGAATGGTAGCGAAATTCCTAACTTACCATCTATGAAGCCAGTAACTTGTTTGTTAGTATTAGTCACAGTTATAAATCTAGTTTGCAGTAATTCTGTATTCTAGACAACAGAAGGTAACCAATTAAACATGGAATTTGCAGGTGATAAATTTCAAGGGAGAAAAAAATGTGGAATTAACAGCTTTGATTCCAATAGATAGGGTCTTGTTGGTGGATTTATGTAGTGAAAAAGGTCTCTATGTAAGAGCAAGCAAGCACATGGTTAGGAATACTGAAGTACTGGAAACCATTAGCAAAGACATGAAGTTATACCATGGCATTGGAATTACCAGGTCTACACAGGCCTGGGAATCATGAATGGTATAGAGACATCCGAATTAAAACAAACCAAACAAGAATGTTAAAAATGTTTGCAGATTTATGGATATCATAATGAGAAGACTTAGCATGTAACTTCTCCTATATCTCTACTGTCCAGCATGTATTACTCCAACTATGACTCCCTAAAATACATACTTTGCAGAAGATCTAGGCCCTCACCTTAAACCTGTCCACTAGTTGCTGTATTTTAAGGTCAAAGTGGTATCTCCCCTCCACACAGTCATTATCCTTCAGTGTAATTTTTGTCCTATCAAGTATCCTATTTATGTTCTCTGGACAATGGCAAAAAATATACTGGAGGATTTTTTCCTATAAAGCTAGGAAGAATAGCAGTTATGCACAGAGGCAAGGCTTTTGGACACATTTTTAAACCAGAATTTACAGAAAGTAACAGATAAATTTAACTTTTTATATAAGGAATATTGCTCTCTTAGGAAAAGAATAACCATGAAAAGACTCAAATCCAGAAGTTGTATTCATTGTCACTGTTGATCCAACTTGATTATAAATATACCTGTCACTTCCAGGACCAAATAAATCCCAAGCACAAAGCCTTATATTCTTTGGGAAAACAATGAATAAAGAGGCTTCAAAAAATGGGTCATGGGCTTTTTTAGAGGAGAGTGCCTGGAAGTTTTAAGTTGATATGTTTATTCAACTATAGTACAGCTGAGGGGCCACAGGAATGCAATTGCTGGAAATCAAAATCGCCCACCTCATTGATGATTCCTGATAGAAGTTCAACCTCATTACTTAGGAAATTATAATCTGATGTTAGTATCTAATAAAATCCCTTCTCTATTTTCAGTGGTTGTCAGTCATTCATCATATGGACACCTCTTTCCCCCATCCTATCAGTAGTTTAAAAAGAGCTTTGTGTCTTCAGTTTTCTTTTCACATTGTGTTTAGCATATGTAAATGTGTTTTGCAGATTAACTTTGCTTCATTTACAACTCATTTCAAGAACAATTTGAAAGCCTTGCAATAATTTTATTCATAAACCTGGAAAAATGTGGGTTAGATCACAGGGTGAATGTTTGTTTACTCTCTGGTTGCTTTTTAAGTACATTAAACGCATAAATAGAACCAATTCATTGTCTTAAGTCTTAAAATACATGAAGAAATATGAGCATATAACTATTCACTTTCATTTAAAAACATGAGCCCATCAGTGGTTGTTTTTCATCTTTATAGCTAAGTACAAATCTTCATTGCAATAGTCTTTACTTCCTGGTTTCAACTCATCTATCACATGGTCTTCTTTCATTTTCATAAGGGTCTGCTTTCTGTTGATTTCAAAAAAAAAAAAAAAAATGCAAGGGGACATTCCCAGGAAAGGACTCTAGCAGAGAGTCTAGTAGAGAGATTGTTTTAAGTGAATTGTCTTGATAATGAAATCAAAACTTTGAGTCTCACAAGATGTGGTTAATATTCTTTACTCGATATTGAAGTCTAGAAACAAATGGTGCTGAAGTTCCATCTGCTGACTTAAGAGTCCTTGTGCTTTAGGAGACTGAGCACAGTAAGCCATCCTTTTCCTGATCATAGTGATAGTTTTGGTCTTGAATTGCATATATGAAGCTCATAAACCTTTTTTAGCCATTTTGCATTGACACAGTGAATATACAGCTGTCTATGTAATGTAATGTGATTCATTATGGGCCTCATTCTAATTCTGAAACTTATACAGAATAACTCCTTTTCCTAAAAAAATGTCAATGCTTCTGCTAGTTGTTGTATCTCAATTGGTGATGCTGTCATGCCACAGAGAAATTTTGGAGTATTGGAACAAGAGGAAGGGACAGAGTGTAACTTGGTTGTTGTGTTGTAAATTATCTTCAAGTCCAACTTTGAACCCCTGGTTTCTTGGACTACTTTAACAGTGATTTATGTTTTTAAAACATAGGCCCAGAAATAGGTAATCTACCTTTATGCCCTGTGACTTAGTGTGCAAGGCCTTGCTTTTGAGAACGTTTTCCATGAAGTTCCTTGATTTCTTCTGCACAAGATGTGACACAGTCAAACTTAAAAATCCCTGTTCATTTTAATACCATTGAAGGCTGAGGTTTATTATTCTGTCATAGACTGTACATAGCATTTTTTAAAGCTAGAATCACATTTGAAACTGTGAATGGTTCTACAAATATATATGTGTATATATACATATGCTACGAAATGAGGATATATTATATAAAGTTTTTATTTGATTTGTGAACTTTCATTAGGTAGTCAAAAATAAAGAGATTTGAATGCAAAACTTTATATATAAATGTATATTTCTAATAATAGTACAAATTGCCACTTTATAATAAAAAAGAAATGGGTGGGAGCAATAATAAAGCACATACACCTTCAGAACGATGGTGATTCTTAATCCCCTCCAATGCAGCAATAGCGCTTTAAAATCTAAAATGTTCCCTAGAAAGCTATAATTCCTAATAGGTTTGAAAGCTGGTTGAGAGGTAGGCAAAAGAAGTGAAATGATCTTTATCAGGACATTTTGGAGACCATATTTAAAACAAATATTTAAATCCAAATTGAGTGAAAATTGCTAATGTTCAGGGATGATATATTGAGCTTCAATGACAAAAGCAAAAAAAAAAAGAGAGAGAATACTTAATATTATAATGGCATTAAAATAATGTAATGAACATCACATCTTTAGTTTTACTAGCTGGAAACCATGAGCTGTTGTTTCTTTGTCTTTGCTCCAAGTACAATTTAATGATAGTAGCATTCATTTTATTCAAAGTCATTTAAAAATCTAAAATATATAATCACAAATAGAATCCTTATTAGCTCCATTTCAAGGTTATGTGTTATAATTTTAATAAATGATTGACACTAAAATGTTTATTAAACATGTTATATGAGAAGCCATGCAGATTAAAATTTTTTTTCATTAAATCACAGAAGCACAGATTATTTAAGTCATTTTTTTTTTGAGATCAGCTTTGTAAACTGTTTATACACCACAACCTTCCTGAAGTGAAAAGAAAAAAAAATCTTGAGATACTCATGCATGTAGAATACTGGCACTTGAAAAAAACAAAACAAACAAACAAAAAACAAAAAAAAAATTAAACTTCACTGAGAAGTCTCTTTCTTTTAGTGTATCTATGATAAAATGTGTGACTTAAAGAGTATGCATGTACAGAAAGATATGTCTTTACAGATGGGAAGTCAATTACATTTTATTCAACAATCAAAAGTTATTAATACTTTCTAATTTCAAAGTTACCTGTGGTGACCTGACACATGCTCCCCTACGGTTAAAAATTGGAGTGCATAACCTTTGTTTCTTTATTCATAATTTGCCATCTAGACACTTGGTTAAGTTTAAGAGTATAAATTAATTAGGATCTCTGAAATCCAAGTAAGTCAGACACATAAATCATAGGATGCCCGCCAAAATGTATTACTGTGATGTGTCACTTAGAGGTTGAATACCATGGATGATGCAGAAAGGGAATCTAGAAAGGGAGGAATTTCATAAAGCCAAAAAGATACTTGCTCTGTAGACTAGACAAAGACTAGAGGGGGCC